TGGCACATATTAAAAAAACTAGCAACAACAAATGTTGGGGAGGTTGTGGAGAAAAAGGAACTCTCCTGCACTGCTGGTGGGAGTGCAAACTGGTCCAACCACTATGGAGAGCTGTGTGGAGATTTCTTGACCTACTAAACATAGAGCTTCCATATGATCCAGCAATTCCACTCATAGGTATTTACCCAAAGGACACAGTAATAAGGTATTTTAATGAGTTAAATGAGTCTGAATACGTAAACTCTGAAAAACCCTTAAATATTGTTCACTGAATGTACAGCAATATCCCACAAACAATCCCAAATATTACAGACATGTTTTCAATGACTTCTTCCTGTCTGTAAAATACAAAAAGTGTTCTATCCAATCACTTCAAAAGTATACACAGATAGAAAAGCTTGAATGTAGATATCAGAAGAAACATAAAAGAAATATATGAAAGGATGACATTGTGATAATATGAAGTAGTTGGTTGTAAGACTTTTTTGAGAAGATTATGCAGAAACTGACAGAACTTTTTAGTGTATATTCCAAAATTAATCCACTAAACAGGTTCCCATTTTCATGGTGAGAAAAATGTCTGAAAATGAGGTGGCCAGTGGGTTTGAACACTGGTAAATTATAGGCACCCATTAATATTTAAAAGTGATTTTCAGAGAAATCTAGTTTTTTTTTAAAAAAAAAAAACATTTATTTATCTATTTATTTATACAAGCACTGGGTATAGTCAGAAGCACGGGAGTGTGAGAGAATGCACCAGAGCCAGAGCAGGGAACAGAACAGGAAGATGGACCGAAATACACTACTGAGGGGAGCAGTGGGCATGGCAGGAGAGGTCTGTGCGCCATGTGGGACCCTCACCAGCCCCCAGGGATCGAACCGGCACTGCAGAGGCTGCAGGCAGCTTCGCAGCCCAGTGCTCAACTGCTGCCCCACCAGGGGAGGCCCGAGAAATATAGCTTTTTATCTACTATACTATAATTGATGGAATTAACCACAAAAAAAGAATCATACACCTTTCTCAACTGACTAATAAACTTTCAAATAAGCAAGACTCTTCTGACAAGTCATTGACCAAGGATTTCCTGGCATCTTCTGTCACCATTTGGGGCCAAGAACCTGCTTTGACTTATTTCACCAAAATTGTCCTCTCTTTGACTCTCAACCAGAGTTATAATGGAAAACAAAAGTGTGTTCTTTACAACAGAGAAACTCTTTTAAAATGTATTAAGTAAGTGATAAGAACACTAGGAGCATCTTTTGTTCTAACATATTTTCTTTGACACAGGACTCCTGGTTCTTGACACAGGACTCCTAAATCCGTTGGAATCTAATGACTGATAGGAGTGACTTACTTTTTCTAAGAAGGTAACAAGGCTGTGTGGGATTTCTAGATGGGAATTGGTATCCAAAAGACTAAGCCATAATTAGAAACTTGAAATAGATTATTATCTGGCCACACCTATTTAAGGAAGTTGCCATAAAAATCCACAAAGTACCAGGTTCCGAAAGCTTTCAGGTTGGTGAAGACATCCACATATAAGGGGGTGAGATATACTAACTCCATGAGGACAGAAGCAACTGAGACCCTTTCAGACCTTACTCTATGTATGTTTTCATTTGATTGCCATCTACCTCCTTTATCATATAAATAAACTGGTAAATGTGTTTTCTTGAGATCTGTGAGTTGTTCTAGCAAATTAATCAAACCCAAGGGGGAGAAGCAGGAACCTCCAATTTGTAGCCAAGTTGGACAGAAGTTGACTGGGAAGATAATAATGACTGGCATGTGACTAAGGCTGTCTCCTGGAGAGGAGCCCTTAACCTGTGAGATCTGAAGCTATCTCTGGGTAGTGTGAGAATTGAGTTAATTTACAGGATACCACCTAGTGTCAGATAATTAACCAGTATGGGAAAAATCCTACATAACTTGTGTCAGAAGAGTTATGAGTAGAGTAGCAGTATGAGAATATAAAGAGAAATCTAGTAGGATGGAAAAGTTTCCCCAACAGTAGCTTAGATAGACAAAACATTATTGTTTTGTTAGTTTCTCTCTTAGTGAAACACTTAGATCATATTCACCTGACACTGTTAATTGGCACTGAAGCACTTTTTTTTTTTGTATGCCTTCTTAGTAGTTTAGGGGTTTTGATCCCTCCCTTTCTGCTGGCAATGGACATCTATTACTTTGTACTCAAAATCTTAACATACTGGGCCTCCCTGGTGGTGCAAGGGGTTAAGTTCAGCACTGTGAAGATATTAGCAGCCACTGCAGCACAAGTTTGATCCCTGGCCAGGGAGCTAACCCACATGGCACAGCAGACCTCTCCTGTTTCGCCCTCAGCGGTGTATTTCAGTCAGTCTGCCTGTTCTGCTCCCCACTCTGTCCCTGGTGAATCCTCTCACTCCCCTATCCCCCATACCTCTGGCCTACACCCTGACTCTTGTATGCATAAATAAAAAATCTTAAAAAAAAAACAAAAAACCTTCACATACTCTTCCAGTATCTCTCTTATTTGAGGCAACCAGTACTCCTGCTCTCCAATAATCATGGTCATAATTAGGGCAATAAGTTGATAGAACCAGGAAATGCTTAAGTGATCCAATCAAAGTCTTTCCATTTTCAAAGTGGAACCAGGATGATGTCTTCTCGGGAGATAACTCTATTCGCTATAAGATGCAGGAACTGTCAACAGTAGTATGACTAAAGCTGGTCTATAAAAACAAATCCATGTATAATGCAAAATAAGTCTCATTTTCTCTTTGTTCAAGATCCTGCTTCCAATTGTCTCAGAAGATTAGCTGTACCCTTGGGTTCTCCAGGAAACATGAGCTAATAAATTCATTAGAAGGAAAAGAAAGTCACTTTGCCAATAAAGTGACTTTGCTATCTAAATAATAAAAATTTAGATAATATAAAGATTTTGCTATCTAAAGTTTTTTACTCCTCCCTTGCCACTTTATGTCCTATATTTACTTTCTATTGTTTCCATACTTGCACTTGGTACCTTGAACAATATGAATTTATCGGAGTTCCATAGGTAGAAAGTTTGAAGTGGGTCTCATTGGCTAAAACCAAGGTGTCGATAAGACTGTACTCCTTTCTAAGGATTCTAGGGAAGAAAGTTCATCTGTATTTTCGAGTTTCTAGAGGGCATCTGTATTCTTTGGCTAAATGACCCCTCTTCCTCCATTTTGGACAGTGGCAATGTTATCTCCTGACCATTTTTCATGAAGTCCTACTTCTCTCTAACCCTGATCTTGACTTGAAAAAGTTTTTAACCACACCTGTTATCCACAATAATCTCATCTCAAGTTCTTTAATTACGAGAACATGAGCAAAGTTTGTTTTGCCATTCAATGTAATGTATTCAGTTACTGGGGGTTTAGATGGGGACATCATGGGGAAAAGGCAGGCATCATTCTGCCTACCACCTAAAATGAGAAGAGCATTCCATCGCTCACATCATTCAATTCAGTCATAAAAATACATTTCCAAGGGGAAGCAATACATCCTCCACATTAATAGCAGCCAGTTAATCAACATTATTTAGGAAACAGTTGTTTTATTCTAAATGATACCTTGAAAATTTGTTTGTTTCTGGAATGGAAACTTCCACTGGTTTTATCTTTTTCTAAAGAACTTGGAGATACTCATTGGATTTCCTCAGCCTAGTCAGAATGCAATCTTTGAAAAGTGAATTAAAAGTATTTCTATACCCATACACTTGGAGCCTGAGGCACCTACCATTCCTGAGTATAGAGAGTAAACACAGCATCTCTCTTTGTTTTTATAATTGCTCTGTTTCCCCACGCTGCTAGCACAACATCTGCCAGGCCAGAATGTACTCCTTCCACACCCCACAGAACCACTGTAGGCCCATAAACGACCCATGCTTCCTTGGGTAAGGGCAAGTGCTTTCCAGGCACTCAGCAGGCAGTTTTCAAGAGGCAAAGTCAAGACTTCAAGCAAAAATGAAGCTGAATTCCCCAAATCTTTAGAGTGGTTATGGAGTTGTTGATTCTGTAATGATCTCATACTGTCTGCATTTTATTGATTTTTTTTTTTTTTTTTTTTTTTTTTTTTTTTTTTTTTTTAATTTTTATTTTTTATAGAGGCATGTTTTTATTTATTTATTTGTTTGTTTTGTTTTTTTGTTTATACATGCACTGGGTACAGTCAGAAGCGCGGGAGGGTGAGAGAATTCACCAGAGCCAGAGCGGGAAGCAGAGCAGGCAGAAGGACCGAAGTACACTGCTGAGGGGAGCAGCGGGCGGCAGGAGAGGTCTGCGCGCCATGTGGGACCCTCGCTGGTGGCCGGGGAGCAGCCGGGGATCGAACCGGCGCCGCCGAGGCCGCGGGCAGCTTCGCAACCCAGCGCTCAACCGCTGCGCCACCGGGGAGGCCCCTATTGATTTTGTTTTTCAATAGAACTGTTGAAGATTACAATTCTCACATAGGCAGAATGTGGGCAGATGCTATATTCTCACACACAGTCTGCCAGGATATTTTTACATCTTTCTGCACATAAAACAAAATGAAGACATGTGTTATAGATGTATGACACCGGTAACCCCCAGAAGGGATTTCATTATATGCTCATTTCCTGGATAAAGTATTAAAACAACTCTACCTAGAAAAAATGAACAAGAATTCCAAAATAAAAGAGATTGCCTCTTAGGAAACATACTACACATTCTTAATTAACAAAAAACACTGAAAAGACAATTTGTGTCACCATTGCCAAACATCATCCCTGCTATTTCTAATTCTATAAACTTCATGTCGCATCTACTAGTTATGCATCAAAATACATAATGCTGTAATAGCTTATGCTCTGTTGCTATTCATTCATCTACTGTGCATAAATACTCAGTTTAAATATGGCATGAAAGAAAGTAAGCGAAAAACAAACTCAGAAGAGACTTGCCATAGAGTGCCTTAAGAAAAACATTACAGAGGAACCCCCATCATTCAACTCCCCAAATCATAGCCTTACCTTGGGAGACTTAGGTAGACCCACTGCCCTTTCTTCTGCTAAGGTTAGCAAGGTTAACTTTGTATCGTCCACCGAGGGATGTTTGGGAGGACGAGGTGGAGGGTGTAGGAAAGAGCTTTCATATCTCCTCATCATGTAATATTGTTCTTCAGTGATCTCTTCAACCAGAGTCCTGACTGGAAATAATTTTGAATGCCCAGAACAATTACTAACTAACTGAACAGTCATATTCAAGCGGCCAACAGGAATTTCCCAGCACTCCTTAGGGTTGGCAAAGTCACTTATGAGTAGATAGGAGTCTGTGATAGCTTCCTCCAACTTCAGTCCTGGTGTTGCAGCCAAAATGTCTTCTTCAATGGAAAGATCTCGCACAGATACCTTCACATTGAAGGGCAAGCAGAATTGTGCACAGAGCTCAGAAATGTGGTACTGTTTCTTATCATGAATCACCTCTACAAAACCTCCTTCCATGTACAAAGGGAGCATTGCTACCTTATGATTATTTTTGAGGATTTTTTCACAGGTGAGAACATTCACTACTTTATTAGTTCCCTCACAGAAGATTTCAGTTGTCTGTGAATTGTGCACTAGAAACTGGTCCCCGACAGAAATGGATGTCAGTTCATCCTGAGGTGGGTGAAAAGCTTTGGTGGCCACCACATGGAGAGGCTCTTTCTTACTCTTTGCTATCTCAAGGTCATAGGCAGTTGGGAACTCTCGAGGTCGTCGCTTGAATTTGCCTTGATAGCTAGTGGGGATCAAGAAGTGTCTTTTAGGAAAATTGCTTCTAATTTCTGAAGCTAAGATCCTAGCAGCTTGGTACTTTTCATGAATCACAATGGTTTTCCCAGGTTGTAAAATGCTTCTGAGGAGCTGGTTTCCTTGAGGGATTTCTATGACTTCAGCCACTATGGGGAACTCCGTACTGGCCATTTCAAAAAGATCTTGGGTAGATAACAACTGGAGAAACCAGTTAGCATCATAACTGTCAGTAATGTCTTTCACTTCAACATCCAAACCTGGGAGGATTCGGATTATATCCTTTTGGACTGAAAAAAAAAAAAAAAGAGATTATAATATTTTGTGTATCAAAATATTGCTGTGAGATAGTATGAGAAACTCTCCTGGTACCAAATAAACTTCATTTAAGAAAGGAAACTCAGATGATTATGATATTTTTGACTTGCAACTTTCCTTTTTGCAAATGTTGAGATAAACAGATCATGTGTAACCAATGCCAATAACCCAATGCTCAGTTTAAAAAATAGACATTAACCAGTGTTTTAGAGTCCTGTGAATCTCACCAAATCACATCCTCCTCCCTGCAACCTAAGGGCAACCATTCTAATTCTCCTAGTTAATCATTCTCATGTTCTTCCCTACATATTTATCACATATTTCATATGTGTGCATGTGTGTAATTATATATGAATGTGTTTTTTTCAGATTTCTGGTATCATTTTAATTCATGCTCTAGTCCAGATAATATCTATAAAATTAGCTTAGAAGAAAGCTTTTCTATTTCAGTTAAGATCCCTCCTTTATAGGTCCCAAGACATGCATTATTTGCACAAAATTCAACCCTGTGGGGTACAAGAACAATGCAAAATAATGGGACACAAGGTGCTTAAGAATAACATATAGAAATGGATTCCAAGATGCAATATTTTTCCAATGTGAAAGTTCTTTCTTTCTGTAATGGTGTATGATTAACACCTGGGTGGAAAAGGAGTGACACAGGATGGTCACAGTCAGATAAGTTACTTGGGAACCCTAGGTATGCTAGTGGGGTGCCTACCAATATATTCTTTGCCTAATGGACTAATGAATCTCTATATTCTTTCCAAATGCCCATAGTCCCAGAAGTCTTTGAGACTATAGAGACACTTAAAATATTGTCCTTAAATTATTTACCTGCTCTTCATGTATGTTCCCATATAGCACTATAACTGGTCTACATTAAAAATAGTTATATGTTAATATTATAAGAAATATATAAAGGTTGGTATTTTCTTGATAATTTTTATAACACAATCTTACAGCATTTTCATGATCTGTCACTCTTTCCCAGGATCTCCAGTCACACTTCTGTCAATAATCTTTCTTCCTTGCACACTTTTGAAATTGAACAATTTTGGTGCTCACTTCAGCAGCACATACACTACAATTGAACCATACAGAGAAGGCTAGCATGGCTCCTGTGCCAGGGTGACATGCAAATTCATGAAGCTTTTATAAGTATAATTGATATGCTAAGAGAGAAATGAAAATGAATCAGATAAAAGACTCAATTAACTCCATGGTAGGAAGAAAGAGTAGAAGAAATAACATGCCTGGTTTGGGGATAAAAACAGATTATTATGAAAGATATATGTGTAACATTTTTAAGCACAAGCAGAAATTACACGTCAAGATGGGGAAGGAGAGAGAATATTACAGATAATAAGAACATCGGGGTTAAAGGTAAGGAGGCAGGGCCTCCCCGGTGGTGCAGCAGTTGAGTGCTGGGTTGCAAAGCTGCCTGCAGCCTCTGCAGCACCGGTTCGATTCCCAGCCACCAGGTGAGGGTCCCACATGGCGCGCAGGCCTCTCTTGCCACGCCCGCTGCTCCCCTTAGCAGTGTACTTCGTCAGTCTGCCTGCTCTGCTCTCCGCTCTGACTCTGGTGCATTCTCTCACGCTCCTGTGCTTCTGACTATACCCAGTGCTTGTATAACTAAATAAATAAATCCTTGAAAAATAAAAATAAAAAAATAAAGGTAAGGAGGCAGAAAAAATATGGTATAATGAGTGATCAACAAGAAGTCCAGCTTCAGGATTTTAAGCTTGAGCACAAGTCTGGGCAGCAGAGCTGTTGCATGTAAAATTATAAAGATGATATCACCCCTTGAATGCCATTATAGGAGTGTATAACTACTTTGGGATGAAATCAAACTACTTGAGATTAAAGATGACAAAGTCAATTTAAGAGTTAGGCAAATTAACTTGCTAACACAAAGGAAAAGGAAACTGAATTAAGAGCAACTACCTTTCTCTACATGAAGCCTACCAATACACAGTGTATTGACTACTCAATTTCCCTAATTTCTTTTGCACAAACTTCAAATTGTATTTATTTTTCTATCATGTCTGTTAATCCATTAAAACAAAATGATTCTCTTTGTTCTTGCATATGTTTGAAGTTGTCCATGGCCAACAGGTAATATAAAAACTTTGACTACAATCTGGAAATCATATCCTCAAATTTTTAACCTGGAATCGGTGTAGCTAATTTTTATAACAAGTCTTATCATATTCAAGGATCTCTACATGAGAAAGAGAAAGCATTTAAAATCTTTTTTCTTTTTTTATAATTGAGGAAATTTTGTTGGTTTATAACAATATAAGTGAAAGGTGTACAGTTTTATATTTTGACATTTGGATTATTTTTCTTTTAAAACAAAATATTACATGTATTTATAAAAGTATTTTTTTAATGAGGAGAAAAATTACAGTAATTTAGAAATTTATCAGCTTTAGATTTTACTGTTTACATTTTGGCAGATAAAATTCCTGTAATGTGTATGTGTGTATATGTATTACAAACTTCTTTTTTTTTTTTTTTTTTTTTTTTTTTTATAGAGGCATGTTTTATTTATTTATTTGTTTGTTTGTTCGTTTGTTTCGTTTATACATGCACTGGGTACAGTCAGAAGCACGGGAGGGTGAGAGAATTCACCAGAGCCAGAGCCGGGAGCAGAGCAGGCAGAAGGACCGAAGTACACTGCTGAGGGGAGCAGCGGGCGGCAGGAGAGGTCTGCGCGCCATGTGGGACCCTCCTCTGGTGGCCGGGGAGCAGCCGGGGATCGAACCGGCGCCGCAGAGGCTGCGGGCAGCTTCGCAACCCAGCGCTCAACCGCTGCGCCACCGGGGAGGCCCTGTATTACAAACTTCTTAAATGAGCATTTGTTATTTTACAATTGGAAAAAGATTATCTTCTCCCCTCAAATGATAATAGTGTATGAGCTAAATAAGAAAATATTTTCCAAAACACTTATCTTGACTTTAAAATGATAAAAAGAAGGTGACAACTCAGTATGGAAGACATTCCTGAAGGTGGTTACTATAAATTTTCCAAATTCAAATTAAGCAAAAACAACTAATAATCTGAGTTATAAGACTTTCCAATTTATTTTTCTAGGCAACATATATTTTCCTTACTGTGTGTTTGCTGGTTATCCAAAGAGGGTTCTTGTAAAGACAATTTCCATTTCATTTTCTTTAAGAAGGTAGTTCTGTCTTCCTCTTTATACTGCTGAGTCATTTCATTAAACTTTACCTTTCTGCCTATTCTTTCAGGGAAAGTCCCTTTATAGTTAGTGCTAATGTTAATTATAATGTGGTATTTTTCTGCATTCCCAACTGTAAAAGCTCTGTGTATTAAGTGTGAATTGGTGGGAATCCACCAAAATTGTTTAAAAAGAAAATAAAAATTTACATTTAAGTTTAGCTAGTATTGGGCAATGCATGTTTCCCAAACAGTTAATATTAGCTGCCAGAAAGTTCTTAGTCTCCTTTTGGTAAATAAGGACATGTTCTCTGCTATTAAACATGAATATATTTTTATTTATCTTATCTTTTATCTCTTCTGTTTCTCTGAAGAAACCTGATAAAAATATTTGTTAGTGCAAAAATCAATCAATATACATATATGCATTGACACACAGAGTAAAAATCGATATATAAATAAAAAAGTAATTTCCTCTGCTTACTGTTTGATATTTTTTATTAGTAATAGGATTATAGAATAAAGGAAGAAAATGAAATGGAAGCAGACAAAAGTGCCCATGCTAAGTCATGTTATTTTTATGGACACATTAGAAAAAGCACCACTAATAAAAACTGAACCTGCTATACAAATATAAATGACATAAACATTGGTAACAGAAACTAAATATGCATTTCCCATAGCTATTGAATTTATAATTATGTCAACATAACATCTGGTGAGAAAAACCCTCTCTTTGGGTTTTTTCCTAAACAGGATATTTAAGGATATACAATTATTTTGTTGTTTCATTCATTCATATATTGGGCTTACTGAATATGAAAAATACATAAGAACTTAGAGAAAACTAGGGACATAAAAATGATTATTTGAGTATCTGAAGAATGGTTAAGCCCAGATCTCTGACTCTTATCTAGACAAAATAAGTGACTGCTCCTTCCACCTCTCTCTTCAGGGAACAGTAGATAAAGGGTCCGAGGATCTAGAACCTGGGCAAGTGAGCAGTGGAGAAGTTTAGGACCAAAAGCAAAGGGGGCAAGACTAAATCTGTGGGGGGGTGGTGATGCCCTCAGCCACTTTTCCACTCAGCTGCTATAATTTCAAAACTCTCAGAAGATATCCAGAAGTTATTCTCAGGTGAAACTGAACAAATCTTAGAGGAAATATTCTTGGAACCTGAATTTGGGCTATGCTCTAAGGAAAAAGCTAGCAAAATGAAACCTAAAGTTCATGATCAAAGAGAATGTATATAAATAGTGCCTTACTTGTAAATACATATTTTTAAATTCCTCACATGTAAATAAGAACAAATGAAAAATTTGAAGATATAAAAATCAAATTTTCATTTGAAGAAACATATAAAAGATTGCCAAAACCAAAAAGAAAAATGAAAAGCCCCAAGGCGGCAGATAAATGCAAGGAAAAATAGCAAACTTTAAGAAATTTTAAAATATTCAAAGGGAAGTGGTATATAGCATCTCTAAAACAAGAACATGATAGCATTTTTTAAATCTGTGGTAACAAATAACACTTGGAAATTAAGAATATGATAGCCAAAATTAAAAATTCATTAAAAAAAATTGGAAATGCGGTTAAGGAATTTTCCCCAAAGGTTAAAAAACAAGGAAATACAGCAAGAAAAGAGTCCTAGATCAGTATGGGATCTTCAACATGAGATTAGAAGTCACAGAACTAATGAAAAGAAAAAAACAAGTTGGAAGCAAATTATCAAAGAAATTATCCTAGAATGAAAATGCAAAAGTTCCAGACAGAAATTGCCATTAAAATGAAAGAACAGGGTCTCCCTGGTGATGCAAGGGGTTAAGCATCTCACTATGAAGCAATCCACAGCCTCTGCTGCACGAGTTCAATCCCCGGCCTGCCAGGAAGCAACCCACATGGCACAGCTGACCTCTCCTGGCTCCCGCTGCTCCCCTCAAGAGTGTATTTCAGTCAATTTGCCTGTTCTGTTCCCCACTATGTCTCTGGTGGATTCTCTCATCCCTTCACATCTCTGGCCTGTGCCCCAGATCTTGTGTGCATAAATAAATAAATCTTTAAAAAAAATAAAATGAAAGAACATATCTGCTATAAAGTATATTATTATGAAACTTCAGAATATTGTAGATAATCTCTCAAGGGCAGTACTGGAAGTTATAAGATGATGGAGCAATGCTCTCGAAACTGTGAGAAATTACATACAACCTGCAATTCTATAAGTAAGCAAACTCAATCTTATACTGAGCGCAGAATAATGATCTTTCAAACTTGTAGTTTTTCTAATTAATATCCTGTGTACCCTTCTCAGGAAACAAATGTGGTATGGGTGCCTCAAAACAGGAAGAAAATCGAGAAAAAGAATTCTAGGACAGTAGTATTATGATTAGAGGTTGGTGTCTCCCAAATTTCTAAGTTATAACTTACTTGCTCAAGTGCTTAGGTTATGGACTGACTTTCACTTGCAGCTGTGTGATGGGCCATGCCAATAGTTTTAAAAATTGAACAAATTTTAAAATAAGGAACTGCTATCCTTTATTAAAATTGAGGAAAACAATAATCAATTTTGATTGCACATTCTGGGATAGCTGCCCTAACATCAAAGGGATGTCAAAAATTTTCTGAACTCAATCTTTTTATTGTTAAAAACAACCATGTTGTAGTCTCAATTTTTTGTAGTATTAAAAAAAAAATCACTCTCTCAGAGGAGTTCCTTATCTAAACCTATGGTTCATATGAACTGATTGATTTTTGGTTGAATACTTTTATGTGACAAAATTCAACTGGCTGTTCTCAAACCAATGAAATGTTTCACGTTATTTTTTCATAATTGTTTAAATGGACAATAACATTAATGATGCGGAGATAGATTAAAATTTGAAATAAACATTTTTATTTACTGCTTTATGTTCTCAAGTAAATTATCTGTAGTGTCTTAATAGTATCTTACTTCATTCTTAACCCCAAGAGAGAAAAAAAAGAGTCTCATGATGCCCTTTCCATACACACAATTTTAAATGGTTCATGCAACTCACCTCTGAAGTTGTTGAACCAGAGTTAGAATCCAAGGCTTCTGACTGAAATTTCAGAACTCTGCTCTCTACTTGACCCCCTTATATGCCATAATTTTGAAAAGTCAAGGTATTTGTTCCTTATAGGTAAAAATGCTTCCTCTAGTCATTCTGACTTAAAGTACAAATAATTCTATAAAGATTACATATTAAAACACACCTAAATGTGAATTAATTTGTCATATCATTTTCTCTTGAATCTTAGGCATTCCCAGTTAATAGATAAAACTTATAACCATCAATGAGTAGTTGAAAAAAAAAAAGGCTGTCAAAAACAGGAGAAAGGAAAACATTAACTGTTCATCCTTAATTTTTGTTGACCAGTTCCTTACAAAAGTTCTCTTCCTAATCAAATAAGCTCTATTTTAAAAAGTAACATTTTTCTGGCAGTGATCAAAAGTAAACTAAAATTTTAATTTATCTATACCTGACAGTTACAGCACCTTAACTGGATATCACACTTTATATTTTCATTACTGAATTTGATCCTTGCAACAAATACATGATTTGCTTCTTTATGGATGAAAATCTAACTCTCAGACAACTTAATGAACAAATCAGGGACCATGTCTCATGCTTTAACCTCTTAAGCCTTTTCCTTCCCATTAACCCCACCACGCTCAGGCCCATAGAGCATCACTGTCAATGGATACTTACATTTCATCACACCTTGAATTTCATAAACAGGCTTGAGAATCAAAGCACCATAAAAGCCTTCAGGAAATGGGTTTGTTAAGTCCCACTTATTTGAAAAATCTGTAAGTTTCACAGTCCGTGTTCTGTTCTTAGGGATCTTCCATTCAACAATCTCCTTGAGGGTATAAATATGCTCATCTTCACACTCATAGAATTCTCCTTCTTGTGACAAAGGCAAAGTAAATGAGTGATTCTTATGATTTCTTACCACTTCACAGTGCACCATTACTTCTCCATTGACTTCATCTATAGAGTTGAGCATAATTTGTTCACCCTGCTTCACAATGAATTTCTTTAGTTTTATATCATTCTGACTGTAGAAGCAAGGATGCCCTAGTCTACTTGGTCCAATATGGATGGTCCTTGTAATTTCTTCCACAGTAGAGTATGGTGCTTTGTCAGCCACAATCTTAAAAAGACCTAAGAACAGAATTGTATATATTAAAGAGAGTTCTTACAATAATTCTCATTAGAAAATCACAACAAAAAATTATAAATATAATGTAACTTTTAAAATTCATGGGCCTTTTTAAAGACCAGACATACTTGTCTTAACTCTGAATATTCTGAATAAAATTTTAATATATTGACTAGATTTCTGGATCATCCAATCCAGGCAACATAAAAGGAGAGATGAGAAAAATGCCTTGAAATAAAAAATGGAAATGGAAAATCTGCATAGATACTGGCTGTATGATCTTGAGCAAAATATTTAATCTCTTAAATTCACACATTTTTTTTAAAGATTTATTTATTTATGCACACAAGAATTGGGGTACAGACCAGAGGTGTGGGGTGGTGAAAGGATTCACCAGAGACTGAGTGGGGAACAGACCAGACAGACTGACTGAAATATACTGTTGAGGGGAGCAGCGGACATGTCAGGAGAGGTCTGCTGCACCATGTGCATAGCTCCCTAGCAGGGGATTGAACTTGTGCTGCAGTGGCTGTGGACAGCTTCATAGGTTGAGTCCTAACCCCTTGCACCACCAGGGAGGCCCTACATCTTTCATTTTTTTAATGAGATGATTGGATTAGATTTTTGTTGCCATAAATATATGCTCTGGACATACTGAAAGATATTCTAGAAAGAAACTGAAACTGTCATCACTAGACATAGTTGAGCACCACACTGTGAAGCTGTTTGCAGCCTCTGCAGCACGGGTTTGATCCTGGCCAGCTGGTGAAGCAGACCTCTCCTGTCTTGCCCACCGCTCCCCTCAGCAGTGTATTTCTTCAGTCTGCCTGTTCTGTTCCCCGCTCTGTCTCTGGTGAATCCCTTCACCCTCCCGCACATCTGGCCTGTGCCCCCATTCTCATATAAAAATAAATAAATCTTTAAAAATAAAAATGAAAAAAGAAATACTGAAGACAGTTGTATAACATTGTGAACATACTGAAGACTCTGTTTTATACTTAAAATAATACATTTTATTTATGCTACAATTTACCACAATTTAAAGTATCTGCATATTTCCATTTAAGACTTCTCAGAAAATTTAGATAACATGTAACTCACTAAAGAGAAATATATCATCCAGAATTTGCCAAATTTCCTTGAATATAAAACTCTTGGAGAAACATCATTATTAAATCACAGCATAATATACCTTAATGTTCCACATTACTTTCCTTGGAAAATATAAGGTTAGGTAACTGCTATAAATTGACTTTTGAATTTATATCATTCTTTCATTTCTAATTTTGCTATAGTCTGTTTTTTCCTGTAATACTATTAGTATAGTCACTAGTGTGTATATAATATATATTTATTTATTTTACAATTTCAGATACAGCCTGTTATGCTTCCATGCATAAGTGCTGAATTCTCCTTTGATTTAGTTTGCTTTTATTTTATGGGCACATCTGCTTTGTAGCACTTTCAGAAATTTATTGAACAAATTTTAATAAATTCCATAAAAATAAACCAAAGGAAAAAATTAGGTAATTGCTTCCTTAACCCATAAAAAATAATGCTAATATTATACAGCAGTATGCACTAATAAGACAGTGTATTAAAAAATACATATAGAATGATATAACTTGTAATAATCATTAGTTTATTCAACAATATGTTCCAGTTAAATTAATCCATACATCAAATATTCTTAACCAGGTTATAATTTTGTGTATATTTTGAGTTACTGTACAAAAATTTATGATCGTATTTTTATAGCTGATCCTTGCTTAAACAAAAATGTATGGAATTTCAATTATTTTTAGACATGAACTTCCTGAAAAAGTGTGGGTGATATATCTAGCAAGAACTGAGTAAAGTAGCATATGCAGTGTTTGGTAGAAACCTTTAAAAAAATGAATGGTGTTCTACTGCATGTTCTGCTTGATCATAGTAGGCCAAAAAAAATTATTTTCAAGGAACTTATTTTATTATGTCTTCTATGAAGGAAAATTCAATAAAATAATATTCTTAAATTTACTACAACAAATAAATTTGCCTGTGTATATATGCTTACATATACATATATGCATTTAATTTCATTTGTCTCCATGTGAAAATTTATTTCTAGGAGTTCACAATCATTATCAGGTTATAGAAAATCCAGCAGTTTTGTGAAATAGGTCTAAAAATAACTACCTAGAATCTTGTAAATGGTAGACACATTATTTTATTTCTATCCTTGCTATATTGATGACATAAGTCACAGAAGAATTAATTCAGTGTCTTCTTTCTTGGGGAATTGGGTTCACCTAAGGTAATAACAGACTTAAAATGTTATGAGGTAGAAAAAGCCTGAAACCCTAAGGGGCACTATTATTTCAAGTTAATCACACACTTCAGAGCTGTCTTCTTGGATGTCTCTATTGCAAGAAAAATCTATCCATGGATCTGTGTGTTTTCCCTTAGAAGATGATAAAGTACATAGTTTAGCATACTAAGTGGCAGAAAACAGGAAAAAAAAATGATTAACTTATTTCTTCATGTACTATTTGCAGTCAATCCAAAGACTATCTCCTCCTTGTAAATAGTCTCTAATACCATATAAACTAGGGCAAGTCAGCAACAGAGGTAGAGACAGAGAGATTTAATACATTATATATGTCATATTGGAAATTCAATTTCACAATAACCTAAAACACTAAACACCTGCCAAATCAGTTGAAAATTTGACCATTTCTTCCTGCATCTTTTTTAGATAAAATATGCCCCTAAAAAAAAAAAGAGTATGATACCTTTATTCTGGGGAAAATATAATTTGTTATTCTTTTTTTTTTTAAAAAAAATTTATTTATTTATACAAGAACCTGGGGTACAGGCCAGATTCACGGGAGGGTGAGAGGATTCACCAGAGACAGGGTGGGGAGCAGAACAGGTAGACTGACTGAAATACACTGCTGAGGGGAGCAGTGGGCGTGACAGGAGAGGTCTGCTGTGCCATGTGGGACCCTCCCCTGCCTGCCGGATTGACAGGCTCTGCAGAGGCTGCGGGCATAGCGCTGCACTCAACCACCTGCACCACCAGGGGAGGCCCTAATTTGTTATTCTTTCAAAGAAAGCCAAAATATATTGAAACCTCAGTGATCATGAGAGTGATGGTAAAATAAAACAATATGTAATCTTCAAAAAATAAAAAGTTGAAAGAAAATAGATTTCTATTTCCAAATTTATTGTCACCTATTAAAATGGCTATTATTGTCATTTTTAAATTAGGAGAATTTAGTCTTAAAGAGCATGTCCCATGAACTAAACATAAGAAAATGCAGTAAAATGACCTATTGAAAATTATTCAATAAATGAATTTAAGATTTTTTTGCATGAATTTTAAGAATTTGGAAACTATATTTTAAATTAATTCTTAGTTATCTACATTTTTAACAGTAGTAAAAACTAAAATTTGTATAGAAAGTTACACATTTTAACAATTTTTTATATGCATCCTTTATCCTTACAACAATCTTGTATGAGCAGCAAAACAACTATTATTACTGTGACATATAAAAGTAATCATGGTTTTCAGTCATGACACTAAAATCTTAAAACAGACCATTGACATCAAGTCCTAGGCTCCTGTTACCACATCATGTATTTCATAAACAGTGCAATGATTAAACAAGTAAATACCTGTAACATGCTTAGATAGCACTTAACACATAGGAAGCAGCTATTAAAAATGTTATTTCCCCTCATTTCCTGTCACTCTGTAATTCTAAACCACCGAGGATGGTTACGAGGTCAGAGAGTTAGTACCTATAGGGTCACAGAGGACAATGTAGTTATGCCAGTTTATCAAATTAGATGACAAAAAATACACAGAATCAACAATTCAGCATTTTATATACCTTGAACAAAAAAATCCCAGCAACGATAATTTTCACAGATTTCACCAGAGTATTTGGATATGGGAATGTCCCTCAGGTGATTGCTTTAGGTGGACTACCTTTGGTAAAGTGTTCCTAGGTTGCTTTGAGAAGTTTGACCCCATGCTTTGATAAACTGCTCAGAATTTAACCACCATAATTTTATGCCCATAATAAGCAGATTATAGGGAGAAGTAGGCACATTTAAAATGCAAATATTGTGCTGCTTGTAGTTATTCACAAAGGTATATATTAGACACAGTTGCTGAAGTTCCCTTGAACAAAAGAAACAGCAAAATGCCAAGGCATATTTGAAAATGTGTTTTATTCATCGTTCTGAAAGGTAGCTGAAGCCAATTGAGGGAGGAGCATACTCTCCCCTTATTTTAATGATCTTAATTTTGCTAATGGGATGTTAGTGGATCGAGTTTGGGAGCCATGTGGTGTGACTGCATTGTTCAGTATTGATGCTGCCTGCAAATTAAATGTACCTAAGTAGCCACCTGTTTATGCTTATGATTATGTATAACCCCATATGTTTCTCTCTCTACACATGGGAGGTAAATATTGAAAAAATTATTCTGGTGTGAAGGGTGAAAACAGCAGCAATTCTTCTATAACTGTCAACATATGCTGTGGTGTTTCCTTTAATGTTGTACTTTTTCTGACATATTTGCTGATTTTTGCCATGCAGTGTTCAAAAATAATCTGTTACCCATGGTTATACAAAACAATTAAAAATCAGTTTACATTAAAATCAAATTAGGAAGAGAGATAATTTTCCAATATAACCATAAGTTTTAAATGCATTTCAGAGCTTATGATTTAAATAGATTTTGATTTGCAAGATAAAGAAAATAACTTCTTTCCCCAAAATTCATAGGCATATAAAAAAGGAACATTCTCTTCTTAAGTATACCCTTTGATTCTATATTATTTGACAACAAAAAAACTAAAACATGAATTTGAAAATCCCACCTAAAATCAGTAATGGGCTCTTTTACTAGCTACTTCAACAATATTCCTGCTGGATTTGATCTGGAAGCAGCTTGCCAGACCCCATATGTATTTGACCTGTTAACTAATCAGCAAGGACTTGGGAG